TGTCACCCCCCACTCCTCTGATAGGCCCTGTGACTACCTGTCTGTGGTCTCATTTGATGGAGGAGGAGGCCAAGGTTCTGAAGGGCTGGGCACCTCCAAGTTGGGGGTCTTGGCATAGCAGATGCCCTAGCTGTCCCAAATGCCCATCCCCAGATCCTCACTGTAAGTGGGGATTGAGTGCCCTTGGCCCCGGGTCTGGCAGGGAGCAGACCTCAGGAGGCATCAGCATGGCCTCCACCTGCTCCCTCTCCACCAGTGATGGGCTAGACCTGCTCATAGGAGCTCCCCACTGGCCCTGTACCCAGGGGCATTACGGGCTTCACACTGAGAAGGCTGCTTTACTGACCTATGCTACGGCCAGGGGGGCCAAGGGCACCAGGAGGTGGGCACGGAGGTGTGGTCTGAACTCAGGTTCTCTGGGCTTCAGTCCCTGCCCCAGCAACCTCGCCCACCCCACTTGACCACACGCACCCTGCCAAAAAGACAGAAAAATGACAGCCTTGATGGTGAGGAACTTGAGGACAGGCTCAAACGGCTTCAGGAGCTCCTTGGTGGCGAAGTAGAAAAGGAACAGGGCGTAGAGGGCCAGGCTGACCGAAGCGTTGTAGATGAGAGTCACGTAGAGGTAGCCACTATGGATACTGGGCCAGAAGAGGGGCCATGGTCAGGGCAGACCCTGTGCCCCCAGAGCAGCTGCGCTGCCATCAGCCCACCAGCCTGTCCTCCCCACCCCCAGCCTGAGCAAGGCCAGCACCAGCAGCAGCCCAGCCTTGAGACCTCCCTTCAGGCCCTGCAGACAACACCAGGAGGCCATGACGAGCTAGGGGTTGGGTACAGTGGGGCCCTCAGGGTCTGAGTCCCAAGCAGGGGGCGGCAGGGATGGCTGCTCTTCTACAAAGTCCTCCCGCCCCTCCTCATCTCAGGCCCTGTCTCCTTCTCAGGCACCATCACCAGGGCTCAGGAAGCTGCTATCCCTCAGAAAACTGCCTCCCTAACCTCCACCCTCCTGGCTACTACCCGAAGGAACCTATGTTGTGGGCTCACGGACATGTGTGTACATGTGTGAACATACATGTGTGCTGCATGTATGTGTGATGTGCATGCACCCATGTGCAAGAACATGTGTGAGCCTCTGTGTGTGTGGGCCTGGCGCAGGGCTCCTTCCTGAGCACATTGCTCTGTGGCAGGTCAGGGCAGAACTTGGCTTCCTGGCCTGTGAGCTGTCCCCAGCAGGCCCACTGCAGGCTGGGGTTGGGGCCATGGTCCCGGGGTTCTCAGCGCACACTACGATGGTCTCATCTGCCATGGCCTCATGCTGGCCACGTCCACAAGGAGCGGGTAGCCCGGCATCTCAGCCTTTGCAGAAGACGGGGCCCTCTCTTTTCTGATCCCTTGGTGAGCTTGCCTCTGATGGCCCTGAACCCCCACCAGGCCTTACTTGAAATCCCCATCATGGTATTTGCCGAACACCTGGAGGATGATTGTGGTCAAGGCCATGATGGGCTTCACGATGCAGAACTGCAGTGTAGCCTGGGGAGATGAGGAGGGGTGAGAGGGCACCAGGGTGGGAGCCCGCCCCAGCACACTGGGTGGGGCCACAGGCAGCCAAGACCCCACTCACCTGCTTGCAGAAGCGCAGAAACCCGATGGAGTAGGACATGCCCTGAAGGCAGCAGGTGCCATAGAAGCAGCTGGACCTGGGGGTGGGAAGTCGCTGAGGTGGGGCACAGAGGACATGTCCCCAGCCCTGAGGCTGGCTGTCTGGTCCTGGGCATGCAGGGCATGGGGTGGAACAGTGAGGTGAGGGGCTTACTTGATGGGCTTGCCCCGAATCTCAGCCATGATAGCACTCTCACCACCCAGGTACTGGAAGCAGAGGCTCAGGAAGCTGTAAATGACAAAGGCTGTGGGGTGGACAGAGAACAGGTGTGAGCCCAGAGGCCCGTGAGGGATCCTTCTTGCACGAGGGCTCCTACAAACCACACAGAACTCCTCGGTATCCATCCTGGGAGACAAGGTGAGGCCCAGAGGCTGTGCCTGCAGCCCTCAGAGTGGGATGTTCTCCCCCAGGGGCCATCCTGCAGTCCTCAGTGGGATGCACCCAGTCAGGGGCCATCCTACAGCCCTCAGAGTGGAATGCTCCCCCCAGGGGTCATCCTGCAGCCCTGAATCGGAAGCTTCCCACCCCCGCCTTTGCTCTGGCTGCTCAGGTGGAACCTGTGGCCCAGCACTGCCGCAATGGCCGTCCTTGTCTAGAGCCCTGTTTCCCCAAGATGGGAGATGGGCAGGCTCCGCTACAGCCCTCCCCACTGGAGGCCTGAGGGTCTTATATCCAAGCCTGCTAGCCACACTTGGCATCAAGAATCCCCTCTCAACAGGGGGAGGAGTGTGGGGGTGACTGGGATGGGGCTGGCCATGGAGGTGCCTATACGTGTGCAGGCCTCTAGGGGCCCCTCCATTCAGCTCTCCCCAGCCCAACCCAGCATTTGGAATTTCTCACAACAAGGACAGTGAGGTGGTGTGATCCGGAGTAGAGCGCCCACCTTCATAGCAGTCCCGCACAGAATCGAAGTAGACATAGTACTGGTGACTTCCCAGGAGGAGGAGGCTGAGCCAGGAGTCGAAGGCGTAAATGGGCACGATGAGGAGCAGGCGGACGATGTAGCGCTGCTCCTGGGGCACGGTGTAGGAGCGCAGGTGCAGGTAGATCTGGGCCAGCGTAGGGAGAGTTGGAGTGGGGACCACCAGCCACCTGCCACCCCTGGGGAGTGCACCAACCCAGGCTTGGGAGGAAGTGGGGGTGGGGCAGACCGCTGGGGACCTTACATCTTTCTATAAGTCCTCAATGAGCATGCTTATTATAACTGAGAAGATAAATAATCTTCTACTATATTCAGATATACAAAATATGTATGTAAAAATATTTCTGATTTTTAACAATCATATATATATATATTTTTTTTTTCTTGGAGAGGTTTTTGCTACAGAGCACGTGCACTTGCCAGAACGACACAGAGAGATAGAGAGACAGAAAGTGAGAAATCACCCCCTGGGGGGATGGCCATGCTGCAATCCCTTCTCTTCCATTCTCCTCTCAGGATCTTGGGCACGCACGCACATGCGCCTGGCGTGAGTTTAAGCCACTGGGTCCGGGATTCAAACTGTAGTTGACTACATGGGAGTCCAGTGTCATAGCCATTATGCCAACTGCTGGTCCCCAGATATATATTTTTTAATTGACAAATAAAAATTGTATACACTCATGGTGTACATTAAGGGTTTTTTGTTTGTTTTCAATTTGCCACAGGGTACGTGTGCTCACCAGAGAGAGAAAGTGGGAAAGCACCCCCTGAGGGGATGGCCACACTGCGCCCTTCTCCATTTCTCTGCTCAGCATTTTGGACATGCGCCCAGTATGTTTTTCAAGCTGTTGGGTCTTGGACTCAAACTGTGCAGTTGGCCATGTGGGATCCAGGCACCTTAACCACCAGGCTGCCAGCTAGCCCACAACATTAAGTTTTATCACTAAGTTTTATCATTAATTTTTTTTTTTTGAGAGTTTTTTTGCTATAGGGTGTGTGTGCTCGCCAGAAAGACAGAGAGAGACAGAGAGACAGAAAGCGAGAAATCACGCCCCCCAGGGGAGATGGCCACACTACAACCCCTTCTCCTCCATTCTCGTCTCGGGATCTTGGGCGTGCACACACTCACACACACACACACCTGGTGTGAGTTTTGAGCCACCATGGTCCACTATGTGGGAGTCCAGCAATGTAACCATTACGCCATCTGCTGGTCCTCAATATTAAGTTTTGATATACTTATTATGCAATGGCTAAATCAAGCTAATTAACATACCCATTACTTCACGTACTCGTTATTCCTTGTGGCAGGACATTTCAATCTACTCTCTCAACAATAGAATGCATTTTCATTTACAGTAATCACCAAGTTGTACACTAGTGGCCTCGGGTGTGAACTAGATCCCTGCTCTTAGTGAATATTCTGGCAGTGGGAACACTCAGTCATTCATTTATTCATTCATTCAAGAGGAATTTCCTGAGGCCTGCTAAGTGTGAGACCCAGAGGAAAGGGAGGGAGACCTGGGGGCATAGACGCTCTGGAAAGCAGTTTGGCTTTCAACATGGAGACATTAGAAGGACACATACCCTTTGACATCTTCTAGGACTGTCCCTAGGAACAAACTGATTCACAAATAAAGAAAAAGTTGGTATATATATTTTTTTTACCAAGAACTTTCATACAGAGATTTATAGTCAGTGACTGCAGGGACTCCCATGCACGGTTACATCATGGTGCAACCATGCAAAGGGATGTGACAGAGCCAGCAAGAACAATGCTCAGAAATGTGCCCATGGGGGAAATGCTCTGATACAATGCAATATGTAAAACTCAGGATGGCAAATTGAGTAGGATCACAAGCATGTTAAAAATGCCTGGTAGAGGGCTGGCAGGTGGCGTGCTGGTTAAGGGCACTGGACTCCCACATGGCCGACCACAGTTCGAGTCCTAGACCTGGTGGCTTGCTTTCTCGCTTTCCCTCTCTCTTGCTCACTCTCTGTCCCTCTCTGGTCAAATTAAAATAAATAAATAAACTTTATTTTAAAAAAAATGCCTGGTAGAAATGAGAGGAAATACATCACTACCTTATTCCTAGGCAGTGGGAAAATATGGGTGATTATAGTTTTATCCTTTTTAGATTTTCCATGTTTTCTACAATTCTGAAAAAAAATAATAAAAAACAATAACAGGGTCTCTAGAGGAAGAGGAACCAGGAAGCCCAGTGCATGGGCAGGTGGCTGTGGTCCCACATACTGGGGGCACGAGGAAGGCTTCCTGGAAGAGGTGCCATGAGCAGAGAAGGTGGAGGGCACCCTGCGCCATGGGAGCAGTGTGTTCGGAGGCCTGTGTGATGCATTTCAGGGCACAGCAAGGGCAGTGGTGGGGCAGCCTGGCGCCAGAGACAGACTCTTTATCAGCCATGAACTCTTGGCCGGTGCAGTGTGAGGGCACAATGTGACCAGCCATTGGGAGGACTCTCCTGAAGCTGGCACCACCTGGCTGGGTGACTTTGGAAAGCCACTGTTCCCTCTGGCCTCACTTTCCCCTCTCGGTCCAGCTGGGCTCTAAATTGGTAAAAGTTTGGGGTCTCCACACAAGAGTGGGCCTGAAAGTGAGCTCAGGGGTAGAAGATAGGGACTAGGGCCTGAAACTTCAGCTTAAGGGATCTCTAGGAACCCTGCCCTGACTGCATGACCTCAGGAAGCCGGGCTACAGCCACACACAAAAAAAACTGGTCCTCAGGATTACAGCTCAAATATTGCCCCTTCCAGGAAGCCTTCCTTGATGGCCCTGTAGGAAGGGCCAACCTCGATAGGGCATCCGTGGCTCCGTACTGTACCTACTCACCCTCGCACGTGTATCATGTCTACCATGTTTCCTGGTTATTTGAGGCAACACCTGGACAAGCAGCACCCAGCAGGTGGCAGTCAATGGGCCCCTGCCTTTGGTGCCTCTGGTCACCTACTTTCCTGTCTGGCAATCTCCTGCCTGCCCTGATCCTGGCTCACGTGCCCATCCATTTCCACCACCAGAGCCAGACGAGTCAGCTTAAGGGCAGCCCTACTCTTAGCTCACCCCCTCCACAACCTTCTGTGGCTCCCAGACACCCCATACCTGGGCCGAAGGCTCACCTCTTTACACCGGCATTGAGGGTCCTCGCCGAACACCTCTAATCCAGGTGCCCCCATGGCTCCTACCTCCCCATCCGAGCAGAGGTGTGTTTCTACGCCTCTGTGTATCAGAGGTCTCAGGACTGCCCTGACCCTGACCTCACGGCCCCCATGCTTGGGCACCGCCCCCCGCTCAACCACTATCTGACACTTCCTTGCTGCGGAGCCCCCGTTTCTCAAGTGGGGGGCTATTTTCCGCCCTGGCAACTGCTCCAGGATGGCGGCTGTGTGTGGCTCAGGGCTGAGGATGTCACTTCTCTCCCTGCTTCCTGCATAATGAAGTGGAGGGGAGCTACCCCACCACCAGGGCCTGGAGCCCTGTCCCCTTTAGCCAGGCTCAGACCTTGCTCTTTGCACCCCTTTCCCTGCTTCCAGCTCCTTGCAGAGAAAGCCCAAGCCCTCACCAGCCTTCTCTGGGATGCCTTTCCTTTGGAGGGAGAAGGCCCTTCCTTTCCAGGGACTGAGCCTGGGAAGGACTCTCGGCTTCTCTGAGCTTCCGTCTTCTTGTCTATGAAATGGAGCTGTAGCTCTGACCTCGGCGAGCAGGGGAGGCGCTGATGCAACAGCGCCTGCCTCTGCTTGGAGGAGACCTTCCCATCTTTAGGTCCAGCTCCCACATGCCCTGTCCTGGAAAAAGCCCTGTGCCCGCCCCCTGCACTCAAGGCCACCACAGGGCCCCAGGACACCGGTTCTCAATTCCAGCCTGTCCTCCTGGCTCTGTACCATGGGACATTACCTAAGGGCTCACAATCCCAGCAGCACCCAGCGGGGCTTGGCTCAGCCATGGCCATGACCTACAGGCATTTCGGTCCCCAGGGCAGCCAGTGGTGGGGAGAGCTTACCTGGTGGCAGGTAATCACCAGAGCGGTCCACACAAAGATGCCTGAGATGCCTCGTGCCAGCGCTGTGGTGAGGAAAAGTCGAGGGGCACCCTGGGAGTCGTTCCCAGCACGGTCCATCTGTAGCCTGGCCGGAGAGGGGCTGGGCTGCAGCCAGGTGGCAGACACCAGGGGGAGGCTGGTTGTTCCCAGGAGCCCTGAGTCATTACTCATCTGCAGGGCAAAGGGAGGGGAGGAAGGAGTGAAGGGCAAAGGTGCAGGCACCAGGCAGCAGGAAGCAGCCAGGTGAGATGGAGCTGGGGGTGGGGCTGGGGCTGAGCCAGGGACCCTGGCAGTGGGCTCTGTGGGCCAGAGAGGCAGGGAGGGCAACTTTCCAGCTGGTCACCATCCCTGGTACACCCCCAGGACCTACTAGTGCTCACCTACTTTGTGTGGGACCGGGGGTCCAGCCACCTGGCGCACAGCACTGGCCTTGAGCAGCACTCTGCACCTTCAATGTGAGGGACCCCATCACTGATGCTCGGCTGCCTCCTGCCCATGCATCCCCGCCTCTGGTGCCCGGGCTTTCAGAGGACCCACATCTTAAGAGCCAAAGACTGTTACCCAGCCAGATCTGAGAAAGTGGCGGGTGGGGGAAGGGTCTAAGAAGTAGTCTCGGGCAGGCGTAGGTTGCAGCAGATGGCAAGAGGGAGGCCTACCCACCCCACAGACTCCCGGGGCCCTGCGGGACCATTTGGGTGCTGGGCTTTGCCACGGGTGCCCTGGCCACCACCCCACACTCACTTTCTAGCCCTTTTACACCTGCTCCTCCATCTCACGTCAACCTGCTGGGGCACTGGGTACATCCCTTTTCCCACACTGTAGCTCTGTCAGCCTCCTCTCCTCCCCCACCAGCCGGTCACCGGGCCCAGCGCCTACCTCTGTGGGCAGGAAGCTTCTCAGCCCAGCCCTGGGAGGCCCGGCCTCCAAGAAAGCCTGGCTGGTCATTCGTGTGGCCACGTGGCCCCCATTGGTGGCCCCACTGTGGGTGGGACAAGGCCCAGGGCGGGCACATAGCCTCACTTCCCAGTGGCCCACCTGAGCTTCTGGCTGCGAGGGGGCCGGCAAGGGAGGAGATGGGGCGGAGCGGAGGCCTGTTGACACTCTATCCCTCCCCGGCTGTTTGCACAGCAGCAGCTGGCTCCCAGAAACCTGCTGGCCGCCAGGCAGGGACAGGTGGGCGGGGCCTGTGGCCGCCAAGGTGAGCCTTGCTGGACTGGAGGCTAAAAGCTGGGGAGAGGAGACAGTGGGGAGCTAATGGGTACAGAGTTGCTTTTTAGGGTGATAGAAAAGTCCTCCAGCCAGAGGTGGCGGTTGCACAACAGCATGAGCATAGTTAACCGCCCCTGGGTAATGCACTTTAAAACGGATACATTGTGTGAATTTCACTTAGATCAGACCAGAAGTCTAGGGGCCGCAGGTGGCATAGTGGTTAAGGTGCTGAGCTCCCACATCAACTGCTGTTTGAAACCTGGATCTGGCAGCTTGAAAATCACACTGGGCACTTGTATATGTGTGCCCGAAATCCTGAGAGGAGAATGGAGGAGAAGGGATTGCAGCATGGCCATCCTCCCCAGGGGGTGATTTCTCATTTTCCGTTCCTCTGTCTCTCTTTGGCAAGCGCATGCTCCCTGTGGTAGAACAACAACAACAAGTCCAGGTCTCGGGAAGTCAATTGGAAACTTTGTATGGGGGATGCAGGGAGTGCCAGGCTGGCCGCTGGGCTTCGGGGTCTGCCAGTTTGTCCTGCCTCATTCTAACCCCAATACTGGAGGCCCCTGGACCTGAATCGTGACTCCTGGGAGGAGGAGGCTTGGTTCTCAGCCGGACTCTTGGCCCATTCTGGTTACACAGCGGGTGCCACTACAAAGTGCCCACTCTGTGCTAAGACCACACACCTATCCTGCCTGAACCTGACCCTCCCCCAGCCATGGGCAAACAGGGGTCAAGGTCAGAATCGCAGGAACTACTGTTCCCCGTTTAGAGGTGGAAACTGGGGCTCAAGAGGCTTCACGTCTCCAATATTTCCCACCCTGCTGTTCCCTCCACCCACGCTGTCCCACCAGGGAGCTCTGACTCTCAGGCCCTGCCTTCCCCTGACCTGCCTAGGCAGCTCCTGCCCTGCCCCTCTGGCCCTGGCCCGGGCCTGTTGCCCACAGGCTCCACACTTCAGTGTCAGGCCCTCCTCAGAGGTGCCTAGGACCTTCTGTACCAGCCTCGCTCCCAGGTGGCTTGTCCTGCAGTCTCAGGTGTCACCTCTGGGAAGAACATTCCCTCTTTCCCATCACTGTCTATTTCACTGAAAGTCCTCACCCGCCTGTTTGTGTTGTTGGCCTTCCTCGTCGGGAGCGTTCAGAACCTAGCGTTGTATATGTCCTACATGTGGGGGGCAGAGAGGGCTCGAGGACTTCTGCTGCCAAGGAGAGTGCCTCCTGCGTGCCGGAGTGCTCATCCCCAGCCTCCAGCCTGCCCCGGGGTGTCTGGGACCTGAAGACGTGTCTGTTTAGCACAGAGACAGAGCCCTGGACATAGACCGCATTACCATCATGGCAAACAATCAGGACACAGGAGCTATCACTGCCTGCAAGTGACAGTGACTCAGGACTTGGAAGGGTGTTGGGACATGGACAGAGCTGGAAGGAACCCAGGAATCATCTCACTCCTTTCGCTCAGGCTAAAGGAGAGGAAACTGAGGGCCTCCGTGTGAGATGAGGCCTCAGGCCCTCCTCCAGGCTGATGGTGGGATGACTGCATGTACAGCACGACTCACTGTGGTTAGATGTCAGAAGGACTTCCCTGCGAAGTCACCAGGGCCAGGCTCCTAGGAAGGCTCTGGGAACTCTGGCTTTGGGGGACTCAAGGACTGGCCCCTGGACACAGACCAAGGGTTTCCCAAGGCCCTTCCTTCGGCGGCAGATCCCACTGTGGGAAAAGGTAGAACTTTCTGAAGCAGCTGGTTGGGTGATCTCCCCAACCCACAGGTGCTCAGTGGGAAGAGTGGGTGTGGGGTCCTTGGCATCTGCCTGAGCTGGCTTATGGCCCCTGAGGTTCTGTGATCTTTAGGAAGTCCCTTGAGTCAGGGTCATCTCCCTGCTCTGATGGTGGAAGCCAGGCCCTGTGTCCCTTCTGGGTTGTTCTCTTAGCTGTCCTACCTGGCATGTTCTTGTTTAGCCGCCGCCTCTAGGAAGGCCTCCAGAGCCACAGTCTCCGCCCCTAAGCCCGCACACTCCAGAATGTCTTGCACACTCTGGGAAAGTATGACTTTGCCTCCTGCTTTGCTCCACCCCCAGCACTGGGCCTTGCAGGCATTTGATAAACCTGGGGCTCTGGAAGGGGCGAGGCCTCCTGCCGTCTCTCCCCACCCTCCCTTCTCTGACTTTGTGATGAGGTCACTTCCGGAGACAGCCTCAGCCCTCTGCCCTTTATTCTGCCCGTGGCCTTAGCCACCTCGACAGGCCCTTTCACCTCTTCCCATCTGTCAAATGAGTCCAGTCCGGGGGCCGGCAAGTGGCATGGTGGTTAAGGGCGCTGGACTCCCACATGGCCAACCGTGGTTTGAGTCTCAGTTTCTCTCTCGCGCTCGCTCTGTCCCACTCTGGTCAATTTAAAATAAATAAATAAAGTTAAATAAAATAATTATTAAAAAAATAAAATGAGTCCAGTCCAAGGTCTAGCCAAAGCGGGAGGTGGGAAATGGAAATGTGGCCTGCCTGCCCCTCCTCTGGGCCACGCTGCCCACTGGCCTCCTCGGGCCCCCCCTGCCCCCGGCCCTGCCTCTGCATCCAGCCTCTCATCTCACCACCCAGGCTCTGTCCCCAGGAGTAAGGGCCACTTTATTGTCCCCCACATCCAGGCAGGGCCTGGGCTCTTCCTACCAAATCCCCTTCCAATAGGTTCCTGGTCACCCGGCAAGACGAACACGCAGGTGTCCTGGGTGTGAATTCCAGCTCTGCTGTCCCCCGGCGTGTGTCACACCTTGGCATTCCACCTCAGTATTCCTAGCTGTGAGATGGGGGCAGCAATGCCTGCCTCGTGAGGCGGGGAGGACACGATGAGATACGAACTCACGCACACAGCAGGTACTGGACGGTAGCGGGCTTCTTCTCTCATCTACCCGTGACCCATCTTCCTGGGCACAGAAGACCTCCCATCCCAGGCCCCTAGGATGGCCCCGCCCTCACCCATCTCCCTCTCTGAGCTAGTTCTACCCCCTGCTGGGTGTCTGTGAGGTGGCTCCAGGTCTCCCCAGAAAGCCTGGACTGTCTCCCACATCCCTTGGCCCCCTGACCTCACCCCTGGACATACTGAAGGTCATCCAGAGTGAGAAAGGGGCCCAGGGAGTGTCCAGCCCCCTGCCTCCCCTCCCTGAGAGGCCTGGGGCCCAAGTCCACGCACTCTTGCTGGGATCTGGCTGGAGGCCTCACCCTGCACTGCCTCCAAGTGCCCAACCCGTGCTGGCTGAGCAGTCCCAAGACAGCCAGCAGCCTCCAGAGGACCTTGTAGTCCGTGGGTCTGGCTGGGCACCCACTGGCTCCCACTCTGCAGTACAGCCCGCACAGACCCCATTCAGATATTGGATCTGCTAGACCTAGTTCATGGTGAGGAAACTGAGGCTCAGAAGTGATTCCCTGATGAGGGTCATGTAGCCTGTGAGGACGGGATCCCAGAATCCATGCCACTCTGGTCCCAGCCCCCGAGGTCTAGGTGTCTTTCTCACCTCTGCCCTTCTCCATCAGGGAGTGACCTGCCCGCTGAAGCCAGGGCCCAGCACCTAGGTGGGTCATCGTTTTCAAGCCTCGCTTCTGGGGTGAGGGGAGGGCTTGCTCCACATGGCCTTCCCAGGGGTCCAGACCCCTATGGCAGGACTCGCATCAGGGTACAGCCTAAGAGAGCAGGAGGCTCAGGGGTGTGGGGCTGCTCCTCCCCCACCCAGCTCCATGGTGGGAACTGAGCTGGCTGGGACAAGTTTGGGTGGAAAAAGGGTGCTGGGGTTCAGGACTGGGTCCCCAGGGAGGGGCAGTGAGCAGCTGACTGTTGGGCCATCTGCCCACGGAACTGTGGCTGAATGTGCTTTGCTCCGGAGGTCGGTGTCAAGCCCACACCCACTCAGGAGAGACAGACTGACCAGGCCTGGCTTCCCTGTTGGGGCTAGACACTGCCAAGCCCATCGCAGGACAGACCTGTCTGCCAAGTCCACTGTTGACCAGCCTCCTGGCAGCTCCCAGCACGGCCAGGGCCCAGGAGCTGCAGAGAACTGAGTCGCTGGCCAGTCCTGGGTCTCCCTACACTTGCTCTTGTGCCTTGACCCTGGCAGAGCCACCTGCCTTTCAACCCCGGTAGCCATGGCTCCTGCCCATGGCTCTGGGCTGGCCACCGAGACAGCGCCTCCTCCCAGATGGCCTTCCCTCTCATGTCTTTCCAGACAGGTGCAGGCCTTGCTCTGCCTTGTCTTGTTCCCTGCTGTGCCCAGAGTCACCTCTCAGGGTTCTAAAGCTAATTCAGGGTCCCAACAAGTGTCACTGCCTCCCGGAAGCCAGGAACTGTGGCTGCACAGGGCCTGCCTGGGGTCTGCAGAGGGGACCAGGCAGTGTGACACATCCCTAACACCCTGCCTCCCAAGCCGGTCTCACCAGTCATCAGGCTCTCCCCTTGGGGAGCCCTCGCCTGCTGGGTGCCCAGTGAATCAGCAGATAGTACTCACCACTGAGCTTTTGTCACAACCAACAGGACGGCCCTGACTCAGCTCCGCACACCTGGGATGTGGAGTGACTAGGGCATGCAGTCACACACATGGGGGCAGGGGTGTGGCCAGGCTCTGGGTCTCCCCTGCCCAGTACTGTCCTGTAGGTCACAGAGGGCTGGAAATTGAGTGCAGTGGCCACCCACCACCCCCGGATCCCCAGAACCTCTTCCCTCCTTCCCTGCAGGCTTCCTCTGGCTCTGGGATTCCCTAGCTCCTGATCTGCCTGCCACCTTCCCACCTTCCACTGGGCAGCACTGCCTCCTGGTGGCCAGGACGCCTGCTCCTCACCTGGGACAGGGGCCTAAGCTGAGAGGAGCAGGATCTTGGCCTGGCCACTCCTGGCTTCTGGGGCCTTGGGCAAACGCTGCACCTGCACCTGTTTCCCATGACAATCTGAGTCCCATGTCTGGCTAGGCAGCAGGTCAGCTGCCGTCAGAGTCAGGGCTCAGGTTGGCCCTCTTCCTTCTTCTCAGATGGATGCAGCACGAGAAAGAGCCTGCTCACCTGCTCTGGGTTCTCTGGACCTGGGGCTCCCGTTGTCCTGGTCAGCCTGGCGTCCCACGGTCAGGTGCTGCAGGGGGTGGCCTTCTCTCACCTTCCGGCTCTGAGCTGTCTTATTTCCCACCAGAACCCCCCAGCAGGCCATGCGGAGA